CTTTTGAAATGTGCACTTGACTCCACTGGAAATAGATCAGGTGATGAACTGTTGAAATACACACATACACACACACACACACACACACACACACACACACACACACAGCATCTGAGAAAAACGTGGGTTTCTATGCCACAGGGGAGCTCCTTCAGCCCGTTGCTTTCTAGAAAGCCCTATGTGTAATTACCCTTTCTCTTCAGAAATGGTGTCCTTTGATGCTATCTTCCCTTTGATGAGTTCTATGTTTAATCGGGACTACAATAAAAGGTAAGGGGAAATTAGATACTCAAATTGCTTCTCAGCTGAAAATTGTAGGGCAGAAAATTGCAGTGGAAATCATAGAAAATGTTCAAGCATGCCAAGGGCTCAGTAGTATTTTTACCATAAGCACCATACAATAGTCCTCAGCTCACCCTGCCTTAATGATGTATGGTAGAATGTAGTCAGAGCAAGTGTAAATACATAGACTGAATAAACACAGACCTAGTTGATGCACTGTTTTATTGCAATATTCTCCAATATCCACCAGGAGCTGCATTTCTCAGACTCAAACAATGCTGTAAATGAAAAGAAGGGTCTGTAACAACTGCAATATGGACTTCCAGCAAAATCTTATACTAAAGGCCAGGAATACCAATCCAGTGCAACTTGGAAGATAGGGAAGTCCCCTATTCAACCTCTCTCTCTTACAGTAAATGTAAAAGACCCTGACATCTTCTAGTTATAATTAGCTCATTATATGGGGTCTGCATATATATACTAACACACACATACACACTCTCTCACACACACACACACACACACGTACACGTACACATACACACACAAATAAATGGGACAGAATGAAAGACATTAAGAATCACCTGAACAAAAGAACCTAAGAATCACCTAAGAACAAAAGAAAGTAAATAAGTCCATGAAGCAAAGTGAGCACTAATCAAAAGATTCCAAATAGGCAGTGGGGCTAATGCAGAATCACATAGTCCTAGTGTCTTACCCACTTATGCCAAGCTAGGAATTCTTATCAAAATTAATCTGAAACTTTTGTGGATTTTTAAAGCTGATTGTCCTCACATCATTTTATATTAAATAAACTATTAGAAATTTCTGTTCCATAGCAATCCGCATAGAATACAGATCTAAGCCTCTTTCTAAATATACATGCATACACTGCTGACTGCTACAATAATAATAATAGACATGACTACCACTGATGCCTACAGAACATTATAGTCAACAGCTGCAGAAAACAGTCTTGACACATGTGCAATGGAACACTGACTAAAACCAATCATATTCCAAGTCAAGATTTCTCAATACATTCGGGTGACTAAAATCATTTACAGTATTTTCTCTCACCACCATGGAAATCATCTAGGAAAATATATATATATTTATAAGATATGTATAAATATATATATGATAAATCTCCGAGTACGTGTGTGATATAAAAAGGAATATATGTGGTCTCTTTCCTTGATTCCTGGTTCCTGGTGCAGAGGTTCAAAAACCCATATCACCCACCAAACGGGTCACACACATAGAGATACACTCATCACATTAAAAAAAAAAACCTAATACTAAAGAAACAGGAATGAGGTTGGGGGAGGGGGAGAATGGATCCAGAAGTCAGGGTGAATATGATCAAAATGCACTATATGTGTGTGTGTGTATGAAATTATAACAAGATTGTATGTGAAAAACGTTTGCCATCTCCCCATACACTGTTCATATTGTAGCGCTTTTAATAACTGTGCCATCTCTTCCCAATATGTGGGTTGCCTTTTTGTCTTGCAGACTGTGTCCTTTGCCTTAAAGAAGCTTCTCAGTTTCAGGAGGTACCATTTATTCATTGTCGACCTCAGTGTTTGTACTACTGGTATTATGTTCAGGAAGCTGTCTCCTGTACCAATCATTCAAGGGTACCTCCCACTTTCTCTTCTAACAGGTTCAGTGTGGCTGGATTTATGTTGAGGTCTTTGATCCATTTGGACTTCAGTTTTGTGCATGGCGATAGACATGGATCTATCTGCAGTCTTCTACATGCCAGCATCCAGTTATGCCAGCACCATTTGTTGAAGATGCTTTCCTTTTTCCATTGCATAATTATAGCTTCTTTGTCAAAGATCAGGTGTTCATAGGTTTGTGGATTAACCTCAGGATGTTCAATTCGATTCCATTGGTCTACCTGTCTATTTTTGTGCCAATACCAAGCTGTTTCCAGGACTATAGCTCTATAATAGGGCTTGAAGTCAGGGATGGTGATGCTTCCAGACCTTGCTTTTTTGAGCAGGATTGTCTTCACTATCCCAAGTTTTTTGTTTTTCCATATAAAGTTCAGAATTTGTTCTTTCAAGGTCTGTGAAGAATTGTGCTGTGATTTTGATGGGGATTATATTGAGTATGTCGATTGCTTTTGGCAGGATTACCATTGATACTACATTGATCCTACAGAGGGATGATCTCCAAAATTTACAAAGAACTCAAGAAGCAAGTCTCCAAAGGACTAAAGGATCCAATTAAAAAGTGGGGGAATGAACTAAATAGAGAATTCTCAATAGAGGAGGCTAAAATGGCTTAGAGACACTTACAAAAGTGCTCAACGTCCTTAGCCATTAGGGAAATGCAAATTAAAACATCTCTGAGATATCATCTTACTCCTGTCAGAATGGCTACAATCAAAAACACCAATGACAGTTTATCCTGGAGAGGATGTGGAGAAAGGGAAGACTACTCCATTGCTGATGGGAGTGCAAACTTGCACAGCCACTTTGGAAATCAGTATGGAGATTCCTCAGGAAAATGGGACTCAGTCTACCATAAGACCCAGCAATTTCTCTCTTCAGCATATACCCAAAAGATGCCTATTTATACATCAAGGATGTCTGTTCCACTATATTCATAGCAGCATTATTTGTAATAGCTAGATCCTGGAAGCAACCTGGATGCCCCACAACTGAAGAGTGGATAGAGAAAATGTGCACAATGGAGTACTACTCAGCAGGAAAAAAAACAATGGAATCTTTAAATTTGCAGGCAAATGGATGGCACTAGAAGAAACCATCCTGAGAGAGATAATCCAGTCACAAAAGGACAAACATGGTATGTACTCACTCATATATGGATTTTAGACATGGATCAGGGGAATGGCAGCCTACAATCCCAGTGCCAGTGAGTTTGGGAAACAGAGAGGTTCCCAAGAGATATGCACAATATCCCAGAGAAGTGGAATGAGGCAAGATCTCCTGAGCAGATTGGGAACATCAGGGTAGGGGAAAGGGAACCAGGAAAAAGAGAGGGGGAGAAGAAGGCAAGGGGAACAGGAAGGTTGAGTTGAGGTAAGAAGAGAGGAGAGCAGGATGAGAGATACCATAATAGATGGAGTCATTGTAAGTTTGAGGAGAGAGCTGACGCTAGTGAGATCTCCAGAGATCTACAAGGATAACACCAACTGGCAAACTAAGCAATAGCTGAGAGACTACATTAATAGCCCCTCCCTGATGATAAGGTTGATGACTACCCTATATGCCATCCTAGAACCTTCATCCAGGGACTGATGGAAGCAGAGGCAGATACCCATAGCTAAACACTGAACTGAACTCCTGGAATCCAGTGACAGAGATGGAGGAGTGATGAGCAAAGGGTTCAAGACCGTGCTGGTGAAACCCACAAAGACAGCTGACTGGACAAGGGGGAGCTCTTGAACCCCAGACTGATGGCTGAGAGGCCAATAGAGGACTGATCCAGACTCCATGAATGTAGTGTCAGTGAAGAGGCCTCAGAAATCTCTGGAGCCTTTGGTAGTAGATCGGTGTTTACCACGATGCATGAATGAACTTTGGGAGCCCATTCCACATAGAGGAATGCTCTTTCAGCCTGGATACATGGGGAAGAGCCTAGGTCCTGCCCTGGATGAAATGACAGACTCTGGAGATCCCCCCAAGGAGGGCCTTTCCCTCCCTGGGAAATGATGTGGGGATTGGGTGGGAGGCTGGAGTGGGTACTGGTGGAGGGACAAGGGAGGAGGGGTGGGAGAGGGAGCTGGAATTGACATGTGAAGCATGCATGTTTCTAATTTAAATAAAACATATATTGAGAAAAAAATAACTGTGCCAACAGCATACCTAGGTTTATGGTAGTGAGATGACTCGTGTGGAACCCTTGAATGGTATAAAGAAAGGGGGCTTCTTGTTTTAGGAAACCCACACTCCAGATGACAGACTCAGAGCTATCAGCCCATGGCTCAATCTCCAGGAAAAACACTATCCAACTATGTAGCTGATATTTATTAAACTCTGTCTACATAATGAAGCTTTAGCAAAAACTGCCCACAGAAGTCAAGAGAGTGTCCTGGTTGGGGAATACATAGATTTTCTGTGAGAGTAGTCATCCTGACTCAGTAGAATAGAGACTACCATGTTAACTACTCCTACAGAATCCCCCTGTGTTTACAAACACACTGAATGACAGCAGGCCCCATGCCCAGCAGTAGAGGGCCAACACAAAATAAACTCAGTGATATGTTTGGAGGTGCTTTTGTCTCATGGTGATTTGTCTAGACATTTTTTTAACCTTACAGGTCTTTTGCTTATATGTATTATGTTTCCTAGTTGTATGTTTTTGTGGCATTGTGCCTGTAAACATGTGTGCATCTCTAAATCTGTATGTGTGTCATGTTCTTCTTTGGCTTTTCTTTTCTATTTATTTGTTTGTCTTATTCTGGTTTGGTTTTGTTGCATTTTAGCTCATTATTTTAGGTACCTGTTTGTTTTCTAATGAGGGAGAGTAAGAAGAAGTGTGTATTTCAGTGGGTGGGAATGTGGGAGGGATTGCAGTAGGGGAACCATATCAAGTTGTATTGTATAAAAATCTATTTTCAATTACAAAAATAAAAGTCAGTACCCAAAAAAGAATAGCATTGAAAATGTCATAAATTTTGATGAAATCAAATATAATCAACAAAGGCATTCAAATTAAGAAAGAATAAACATACTTACCAGGAGACTTAAGAAACTAAGACATGAGTCAGCCATGGTGATGCACACTTTCAGTTCCAGAGCTTGAGAGACAGAGACAGGAGAATCACAAGTTTGACCCAGTAATGAGACCCTTCCTTAAAAAAATAGTTAAGAAGAAAAATCAAAATAAAGGATTCCTTGGAGTAATTATATGCCCATAAACTTGAAAATCCATAAAATTTCAAGTATATGATCATCAATTTTAAAAGAGCCATCTGAGGGAGGAAATGTATATTCAAAATTAAATTGAATTCATATTTTAAAATCTTATCATGAAGAAAACTCCAGTTCTGGGTGGCTTTAGAGTTAATTTTTATAAACATTCAAAAATCATGTAGATTGGGTTGGGGGACTGAGGGGCCTGGTGGGGAGGGAAGGGGAGGAGGGGAGGGAGAGGGACCTGGGATTGACATGTGAAACAAGCTTGTTTCTAACTTAAATTAAAAAAGAAGAAGAGGAAGAAGAAAAGTAATGACAAAATAATAAAAAAAATCAGATAATTGTGATTATTTTTCAAAGAATCACAAAATGAGAATGATCTCCCAACTCACAGTAGAATTTCATTACTAAACCGAAGAGTCCAATGTGAGACTCTGAATACAGATTCATTTTAAATGTGGAACAAAATCCAGTATATGGAATGGTAGATTATTTCATGGCTTATACTATAAATGAAAAGTTATTTTAGTGCTGGACCATGAGATGGTGGGAAAGGATTAGGTAAGCTGCCCATTCAACTCATTCGTTTATACTCAAGGTGGAAGTCTAAAATGGATCGCACATACACCGAATCAGGGGCTGAGTGACAATTCCTGTATGGCATCACTGAATACCCTGGAGGGACTGGGACTCACTGAGTACCCTGGAGGGACTTGTAGCTATTATAACATCTTTATCTTTACCTGGCTTGAGGGATCAGAGTGTCATCTCCTTTCACATCTCATAATTACAAGCATTTTCCTCACCCAAATCCCAGTGTGTATCAACCATTATTACAGGCAATCTTGATTTTAAGGGACCATTTCCAGGATCCTCCTATTATAACTATTAATCTGTAGGCACACAGTTTGCATTTCTCATGATTGTCAGCCAAAACCTGGACTGAGAAGGTGGGACCTTAAATGCTCCAGTGGAAGCAGAAAGGCAAGAGGAATCCTGTACCGTTCATCACCATGGTACTGGCGTCTCCATCAGTTCACATCTTTGGTTAAACTGATGTGCCCTCATGACTGAATTAAGTCCTCTTTCTGTGCCTCGTCAGTTCCTGGGCTGGCATTACAGCCTCCTTAAAGACTTCAGTATTAGGTTTTCCAGAGTAGCAGACACAGTAAAGTGTGTGTGTGTGTGTGTGTGTGTGTGTGTGTGTGTGTGTGTGTGTGAGAGAGAGAGAGAGACAGAGACAGAGACAGAGAGACAGAGAGAGACAGGGGGGGGAGACATCAAAGGTCACACTTCAGAATCCATGTTTTTTTGTTCAGGGTCTCTCACTGACCTGGGCCTCAATAAATCTATTAGACTGTCTGGCCAGTGAACCCAGAGATTCTTCTAACTTCCCCATCACTGAGATTACAAATATTTGAACATGGTTCCACATTTTTACATTGGTTCTGGGGATGAAACTCTGGTCCTTGTGTTTCAGTGGTAAGCACACTGTTTATATTCTAGCTCCCCAGCCAGTGATCTTCCAGATACAGCTTCTCAAACACACCCAGAAGCAATGTTTTATCAGTTATCTGGCCACTTGTGATCTCCGTAAATCGTAACATTACACACACACACACACACACACACACACACACACACACAAATCTATCTTGGACAACCGTATTTAACACTATGGCGATGTCAAACCTGCCTCAAGAATTTAAACTGATACAGAATTTTTTTAGCTTATTGGAAAATAAACTACGTTTTTTGAAAAATGATAACAATGTTCACCTAACATTATCAAGGCCAGTTCTAAAGTGTAGTTAGTGTGCATGAGACTTTAAAAACACCCTCCTTATCCTGTGCCTGCTCCGGGTCTCTGGACATACTCACATTTTCCCTAGGATTCTGCACCAAGTTTGCAATACTGAGTAACATGCTAAGCTGTTGCCAAGTCTTTTCTTAACTGTTTCTTCAGCTGAACATGAGGGGTTTTTTTTGGTTTGGTTTGGTTTGGTTTGGTTTTTACGAGACAGGGTCAGCCCAGCCTCGAACTCACAGAGATCCGCCTGTCTCTGCCTCCCGAGTGCTGGGATTAAAGGCGTGCGCCACCACCGCCCGGCTGAACATGAGGTTATTAATGTCGATTATAGCATCATTATAAGCACATAATATCTAGAGTCTGAAACCAGTTCTGGCTCATTGCTTATGCTTCACTGACATCTATTACTTATGGAATGGGCATGAGGTAGGTCATACATATGCCGGAAACAATATTCCATCATTGACAAATAACTTGAGAATCAAAAGATGAGAAAATCATATCCTTTGCCATTCAGAATCTTTAGTTCTTGTTGCCATTTCCATATTATAAAAGAATAAGGGTCTCTCAAAGTGACAACTGTTTAATAAATCCTAGAGACCTATAGTTGAACTATCATTCAGGAATTTATGTGAAGTCTTTTGACACCCATGCCTTCTGTCTACTCCTTAAGCTAACACAGTCAGACATTAACATAACTGTGACAGCCTTTAAACCCATGGTTCTGAGTTTTAAAGGCCCCCACTAGATTCAATATGAGGACTTTATAGTATGTGAAATAGCACAATGAGTAGCTTATTCTTTTTATTGGTTAAGCCGAAATCATCACTTCTTTGCTTACCTCATCCTATGGAACTCTAACTTTTTTAATCTTTTTTTTAACCTGAGAGGAGAATTTTCAGCAGCTTTCTTCCCATAATCTACAATGAAGCCACATCCAAGTTTTTTGCAAGTAATGGCCTCAAGGTACAATCATTACGATTTACACTTATGAGACCTTGCATAGCTATAAAAAGCCAGCTGAGAAAACACAGAGCTTTAGCAAATGCTCAGAGAGACCCACGTAGTGACTCAGGGTATGCAGCCACCTCAGAACTCTTTTCTCTTAGTTAAAAGAAAGTTGATAAGACTTTTCAGCTATTTCAAGAATTTGAACTTTCAAAGATCATATTTAAAAGTCTAGAGGTTTTCTCTTATCATTCTTGGCCTTTTTTACAGAGTCCCTTCTATGTCATCAACAAGGAATTGTTGTAGGGATTTCCTAAAAGAACATTATTTTTCTTCTCATAGCATTGAATTTTGTTATAATGGTCCCATGGTATATCATGAAAAAAAGTAAAAATTTACTAGGATTTATCCTTCCTGTGGTGTGACTAATTTTTTGTCGCATCTATTTACATTCTCTGATAGTCCCCTTTACAACTATAGCAAATGACAGCTGATACTATTTCAACACAGATGGTTATAGGTTGTACTCATTCATAAGTGAGCTACTGAAAAAGGTTTGTTTGTTTGTTTGTTTGTTTGTTTGTTTGTTCCAAAGACCAGTGGTTCTGAGGCTTGGTTGTACATTAACATTGCCTGGGAAATTTTTCTTTTTACTTGGGACTATCTGCATTTAATATCCTGAAATTGTGATTTAGTTGACCTGGGGCATGGAGTCAGCAACAGTGTTACTCTGTGACTTCTGCTCCTCCCTACTCTGACTCCAGATATAGGAAGAGGCATAATGTGGTAGAAACTAAAAATTTAAGAGTCAACAAAACTGTCAGGTTGTCCTTACCTGGGAAGTCCATATTCTTCCTCAGTGAATGTAACCACAATATGAGGTAAATGCTTGTTTGCTTAAGGGATTTTTGAGGATTTCGGTGGTCACGGTAGTTGACACCTCAGCAGCATTCCACCCTAGATGATTAATCTAGGACTGACTTTCAAACTTGGTCAGATGTAAGAACTGCCTCAGAAACTTTTAGAACTTTGAATGCCCTAGCCACACCACAGGCCAATTAAATCACAAACTCTGGATTTTTTTGGGTAGGGGGTTTGTTTTGTTTTGTTTTTTATTACTTAAATTTTAAATAGCTTGCTTCACATGTCAATCCCAGTTCCCGCTCCCTCCCCTCCTCCCGCAACCCCCCACCATCCCCCCCTAGCCTCCCACCCTATCCCCACTTCCTTCCACATAGGGGATATCTAGAGTCTGTCATTACACTCAGGGCAGGGTCCAGGCACTCCCCTAAGAGTCCAGGCTGAGAGAGCATCCCTCTTTGTGTTATGGACACACGAAGTCCGTTTGTGCGCCAGGGATAAACACTGATCTACTGCCCAGGGCCCCATAGGTTGCCCAGGCCTCCTCACTGACTCTCACACTCAGGGGGGTCTGGATCAGTCCCATGCTGGCCTCCCAGCTGTCAGTCTGGGGTCCAAGATCTCTCCCTTGTTCTCCTGGTTTTGCCAGCCCTTTCTTTGCCAACTTGCCTATTGCTCCTCTCTCTGTGTCACTGTATTCCAGGAGTTCAGTTCAGTGTTTAACTGTGGGTGTTTGCCTCTGCTTCCATCAGTCACTGGATGAAGGCTCCAGGATGGTTATAGACACCAAGTTCATTATCAGGAATGGGCATTTAAGGTGGTCTCTCCACTATTGCTTAGCTTGCCAGTTGGTGTCATCCCTTTAGGTCACTTCTCACTGGTGCCAGATCTGTCTTCTAACCTATGATTCCCTCTTCCCCCTATCTACCCCCCCACTCAACCTTCCTGTTCCCCCATGACCTACTCTCTCTTCCTCTTCTCCCCCTCTCTTCTTCCCAGCTCCCACTCCCCCCCCCACCCCTTGCCATGTTCCCAATCTGTTCAGAAGATCTTGCCTCATTTCTCTTCTCTGAGGTACCGTCACAGTTAAAAGGAAAATTTTCCCAGGTAATGCTAATGTACAACCAAGCCTCAGAACCACTGACTTTGGTAATAAACAAACAAACAAACAAACCCTTTCAGTAACTCGCTTATGAATGAGCACATGATCCAATTCTTGCCAAAAGTGATGTGGGGGTGGGATGGGGCAGGAGACACGCCATA